CCGGCGTTTTGCAGCAGGACTCGGAGGTGTCCCAGGGCCAGGCTGGCTCTCACATGTACCCTCTGTGGAAAACAGGCCCGGGACTAGTGCGTCAGGGCACCAGTGCCAACCTTCTGCAGGACATGCTCTCCACTGTTAATCACTTACACAGACGTTTAGGATTGATTTAAAAGGACGTTAAATTTCGGAATAACCTAGATGTCAGCAGTACGCTATCTAATGGAATACTCACGTATTTTTAAACAAGTGTTCTCCATGATATTTAATGACACGGAGAAACATGTTTACCATTTAACGTTAAAGGAAAATAGGATAAAAATTTTGCAAAGATGCACACCCAAGACGAAAGTGTGAAAGAAATACATAAAAATATCAGTGATTATTATCTGTGGGTGATGGGATTCTACAGAATTTTTACATTATTTTATGAAACTTTTACTTTCCAAATTCATTATGAGTCTGTATTATTCTCATGGGCAGAAATAATATGAAGTAAATATTTATAAGTCCCTCAAAGCTTGCTCTGTGAGTCCCTCTCTCCATCCTAGGAACCAAGCATCCCCGCAGCATTTGCAGGCTTTGAGCTTGGTTTGAGGGGCCGGCCACTGCACTGTTCCCTCGTCACTGTGAATCACAGAGTAACAAGCTGCTCCAAATTGCAGGCACTGTTGTCACGCCAAGAAGCTAGACAGACCCGAGCCTCAGGTTCTCGACACATAAAACGGAAGAATAGCGACTGCTCTTTCTCATATCCCAGAGAGGTTATAAAGACAAAAGAAAGTAAAAAAGCGAAGAGATCTCTTAGCCATTTAGAAGATAACACAATGGTAATTGAAGGAGTGCGAGGTTATCAACGGTAGTTACAGCTCAGGAGATGGGACAGTAAATCGTGGTAACAACATTAGCTGTTAGCTGCCTTGATCACAACAGTTTATATGCTGGTGGGACTGAAAAATGGATAATTAATATTATTGTGGGTTCAGTTTTTACAGCAGGAGTTTCCTCTTTGGAATTTTCATATCAAATTTCCAATTTAACTCCTTTTTCATTCACATATTAATGTGCCAGAGAGAGTCACCAGAGGGCGCTACATGACTTAGAGTCCATTTGGCTCTTCAACAGCAAAATCACCAAGATTTATGTCAGGAGAGTCAGAACTGGGTCCAGGCCCCAGATAAATGAAATCCGGTGTACATTAATTATGATGCTGCACTGACATTTAATTAAATAAGCTTATTTGTTCCCTTGGCTATTACTTTAATGACTCTGCTTTTTTAGTTTGTATGTTTATAGACTTTTATTTCTTTCTTTTAAATGGGTAGAGATTGTTCAGGTTAGAATTCTTCAGAAACCGAAAGCCCTGGTTTGTTCTGAAAGCTGCCACAGGCACATGTTCACATGATAAAGAGGCTGACCTCCTCTCCGAGACATTTATAAATGTAGCTAGAAATAAATAAGTGGCCTGTATTGTTTTCAGAACAGAGGGGGTTGAAATCTCTGCTTTAGTTTAGGCCTTCATTTTCGTGTGCCATGACCCTTAATTCCCAGTCTGCAGACACACTTACAAGGTTGAAATGCACTGGGCTGTTCACAGGTGCTTCTCCATACTTTTCACATGTCCAAGGCTGTCCCAGGCAGTGGGAAGGCAACGGGTGTGCTAGTGAGTCTGGGTTCGGAGGGCCCATTCAGCTGGGGTGGCTGCGGGCCACCGCGGAGGCTGTCCATGCTTGGCTGTGTGTGGGGCCTTGTGTTATGGCTGCAGCAGAGGGCAGAGTGACTGACCTCAGTTCTCCCTGCAGTGGGGGCCTCTGGGGGATGCAGAACAGCAGGTGGGGACAGGGAGTGACAACTCTGCCTGCATGCATTCCCCCCCACGCCCCAGGGTGTAATGTACACACACACAAGGGCTGGCTTGTGGATGGGAAGATCTGGTCCGAGTTTGCCTCTCTGTGCTTGGGTCGCAGTAGTTACAAACAAAATCTGTGTTTTCCTTTTTAACCCTTACAAATGACCCTTGAGGTCCGTGGGGGAGTGCCTGTTTTTATTCTGATGTACAAACGTGGAAACACACAGAATAGAAGGTACTTAGGTTCCTTCTAAGTCTGAAGTTCTATCTTGCCTGTGCAGAAACTCTTCCTCAGCTGGTGAGGCCAGAGGCCGGGTTTCCTGAACCTGGTGCAGAAGTTTGTGGATGAGAAGCAAGTAGCAGGAGAGAGCTGGGCAAAGGCCCGATGAAGTCTATTCTCTGGTGGGTGGTGGTAGATTGTGAGCGTCTCATTTGATGCCTACCAGTGAGGCCATGTGGGAGGTGGTGAAGGACTGGGGATCATAGGACCCGTAGGACATTGATTTTGATGGCGAGGGTCTCTGATGAATATGAGCTAAGCTTAGGCTTTCATAACACAGAAGTTGCTAACAGCTTTAGTCAGCCCAGGCAGGGGTGATAAAGAGAGCAGTGTGTCTAGAGGCCTCCCAGCACTCTCTGGAAGGATGAGGAGATGGAGGTGGTGGCAGAGGAGGAAACACAGCTGGGGATTCAGCATTTAGGTGGTGGAATCACGGCAATCAATGGCCTGTTGCTCACAGCCCCAGATGGGAATGTGAAGGGAGCCTGGGCTGTGGGGGCAGTCCAGGAAAGCCTAGAAGGAATTTTTTGGTTTGTAAAGCTCAATTTTTGGGGGGAGAGAATCCATTATGGGGGTTTTACAACACCCTAGGCAAACTGTCCTGTCTTTCGCTGCTCTCTTTATGTTACTGGTGTTTTGTTTTTAAATTTCAAACCTTGGACTTGATTTAAGGGAAGTCCTCAATTTTTCTGACATATATGGAGTCCCAAAGGCAGCAAAATACAGACATTTAGCAGGCTAATAAATCAAGGAACATCAAGGCCACAGTTATCTTCTTGCACAACCCACAGCGCTTCTAGATATGACCCCCGCCCCCACCCAGTGCTGGACAGACCCAGGGCCTTTGCACACACGGTCTGATTTGGCAGGGATGCCTCCAAGAGGTGCTGCTTAGCATGGAAGACAAGGACGGAGGTGCCAAGCGAATGATAATTTTACTTTCTGGAAAATACTGTCTGTGGCTCTGTTTTACATACCGCTTTAGAGTAATGCTCGAGAACTCTCTCTCATTCCGTTTTGTCCTTTGACGTTGACTCTTTTCTGATGGATGTGTGTCCCGAACCCAATATGTTAATGAAGTAGAAGAGGCTGCAAAACTCCCCTTCAGCTTCTCTGTCCAGCTCAGCTTTCCTCCCGGGTGGTCTCCTGCATCCCAGGGCCTCCAAGGGCGAGGGGAGGGGCTGAGCTCTGGCTCAGGCAAACAGCAGTGAGTGAAGGATGCTACCTTGGCCCTCATCACTGGAAGGGCTGAAGGGAACTTGAGAATTCCAATTGGGCTTAAACTAATGAGCTGGAATTTTGGGGGGGGGACCACTGTGGGCAATGAGGGGACAGTGTGATCATCTTCCTTTTACTTAGGACTGGAAAAGCCTGTGGCTCACCACTTCCGAGAATACTAGAAAGGGGATTCCTTTGGTGGTAGAGGGATAAAGGCTGGTGAACAAACCCAGACTCCTTTAAGGGGGAAAGGTGGGCTTGAATGGAGCCTGGAGCCAACTCTTTCGCTAGCTGCCCTCCTCACACAGTGGAATCTGAAGCTGGATAAAAGAAAGCGACTTTAGGGAACTCTACTGCCTATCAGACCTGCACCACCCGTGAGGCCAGGTCCCCCACTGCCCCTCTCAGTCTACTTTCTTAAGCAGCCTCCGTCGTTTCAGGAGGAAAAGGCAGAAAAACCACCTGCTGGTATCAAGGCCAAAGACCACTCGTCAGAGCACAGGAAGAAGGAAAGGAGGAGCGAACGCAGGATCGGTAGGGGATGAACTAGGGTGCATATCTTGAAGTGTCTTGAAGTGTCCTTCGCTCCAGAGGCTCAAGGATCTTGAGGTGTCAGGCCTGTGGAATCGAGTCCACAGCTGGTCACTCTTCCCTTCCCCGAGGGGTCACCTTTGGGAAAAATGGCCTGCCATGAAGGTCCTGCCATCCTCTTCGGGACCCTCAGGGAGCTCTGCTGGGGGCGCGGCACATTGGAGAGTTGAGAGGTTCTGTGCCTATGTTTAGGGCGCTCTGCCTCACCCTCAGGGGGGTCAGGGCGTGCCAGGCCGCCGCGGAAGGGTCTGCCTCCCTCCTGCCCAGCCCTGAGTCTAGGCGAGCCAGCGCTGTGAGCCTCCTTCCCTCCCGCCTGGGGTGGCCTGAGCCCGCGCCCGCTCCAGTTGCTGCAGCTGCTGCTGTTGGCGACCGCGGGGAGCGCGGGGCGCGCGCCGAAGAGGACCGGGCGGCGAGAACGGGGACGAGGAGGAGCCCGAGAAGGCGAGGAGGAATACCGCGCGGAGGCCGAGGAGGCTCACCGGCGTGGCGACGCGCTCAGGCAGCGGGGGTAGCGGCTGCGGAGCTCGGGGACTGGACGTGGTGAACCTGCCGCGGCCCAGCGCGCACAGGGGCGGGAGACAGACAGGTCGAGCGCATCCAGGGGAGAAGGGCTGGCGCGGGGGCTTCCGGGCGGAGGGTACTGATTATACATTATTAACGAGTTGCCTCCTAATAAGCCAAAAGCGGCTCGTCAGCAGCGCGAGCTGCGCGTGGGGAGGAGGTCCCGGGCCAGAGCGCAGCGCACAAGCGTGTCGCACGGCGGGCGGCGCCTCGCCGAGCGGAGGGCACCCGGGCCCGCGGACAGAGCCAAGGCGGGCCCGGGGGCGGTGCAGACCCCGGGCGCGGGTGGCCCGCGGCGCCCCCTGACTCTCCGTGTTCCGGGCCAGCGCGGCTCCGGGCGAGCGGCGGGTGGAGTAGAGGGAGCTGCCCCCGCGCTCCATCCCCCTCCCCCCCGGGCGGGCGGGCGGGCCGGCGGCCGGGGGGAGGGCGGACGGCGCGGCGCGGTTGGCTGTATATATCTCCGCGCACCCCGCCAGGTCGCGCACAGCGCCCCGAGCCCAGGAAGCCTCCCCGCCCCCTCCCCGCGCCCCGCGGCGGCGGCGGCAGCAGGAGCAGCAACATGGCTGTGGATGGGTGCTCGGGGCGGCGCTGGCGGCGGGAGGAGCTCCCCCGAGCCCCTGCGCTGGCTGCCCGTTGCTAGCTATGGCAAATGGTGGCGGCAGCGGCGGTGGCAGCACCAGCGGCGGCGGCGGAGGCGGAGGCAGCAGTCTTAGAATGAGTAGCAATATCCACGCGAACCATCTCAGCCTAGACGCGTCCTCCTCCTCCTCTTCCTCCTCCTCCTCTTCATCCTCCTCCTCTTCCTCCTCGTCCTCGGTCCACGAGCCCAAGATGGATGCGCTCATCATCCCGGTGACCATGGAGGTGCCGTGCGACAGCCGGGGCCAACGCATGTGGTGGGCTTTCCTGGCCTCCTCCATGGTGACTTTCTTCGGGGGCCTCTTCATCATCCTGCTCTGGCGGACGCTCAAGTACCTGTGGACCGTTTGCTGCCACTGCGGGGGCAAGACGAAGGTAAGGTGCGCCCTGGACGCCCGCCCCCTGCGCCAGCCCCTTCGCTTCTCCGTGGCTTCCCCAGCAGCCCACCTCCTCCCTTCATCCCCGCCCGCCTTCCCCTCGCCTCTTTCCTTTCCCTTCGCTCTCCCAGCGCCCTCGGATTGGGGCAGCGGGCGACCCGCCGGAGGTGAGGAGTTGCCCCCGACCGGTGCGCTCCGGGACGCGGCCGCCCAATCCCGTTCCGTTGTTTATTATAGGGTTGTTTTCGGTTGCGGCCGGAGTGGGGGACGCGCGCCGCTCGGGCGCTGTGGTGCGGGGTAGGGAGAGCCAACCCCGCGGGCATCGAGGAAGCTGGGGGCCGCCGGGTGCGCGTTCCGCGCGGCCCACCTGCCGAGGCTCGGTTCCTCTCGGTGGGCGACTGGGAGCACAGCGGCCCGCACTTTAGAAACCTGTTGGGGAGACGAGTTCGTGGAGTCAGAAAAAAGGGAAAATCCTTTGGGCAAAGGAGGAAACCTTTCAGACTAGGGACTCCCTTGGGGAGGAACATGGCCAGAGGAAGTGGGGGCACGAGAGAAAGTTGGGGAGATGCACCCCAGTTTTGGAGGTAACCCGGGGAGGTTGCCACTTCAGGTGTGTGGCGAGGTGATGTGATGTCACCTCCCTCTTCATCCTTCAGCTATTCTTGTGTAACAAACACCCTCCCCCCAAGTTATGGGGCATCTGTATTTTCGCCCCCAGGCCACCCCATGTAGGTCCCCGGAAATGCCACCCGCAGCAGCGTGGAGGCCGAAGCGGCAGGTCCGCCTGAGAACCGGCCGAGGCCGCGGTTTCTCGCCGAGCCTCCTCTCCGACGCTTTTGAGGCGGCTGGATGCTGGGTTGAGCTATTCCTGGCGCAGAGACGCCCACCAGCACCCAGGCTCACTACACTTTATGTATGGTTGCTAGGCTAACTTCCTGGTCTGTCGCTGAGTCGCCACAGATGTCCTCCTTGTCCCCCCATTGGCTGAAGGCGGGGGGGGGGCATAGAAAACTGCACAATATAAAAGAAAGGACTAAAAAAAAAGGAGAGCGACCCAATATGCCTTCCGTTTGAATAGTTCCCATACGAGGGGACTTCCTAGTGCCAACATTTTCAGGTGGAGGGGAGATCATGGAGGGGAGGGGAACAGTGCAAGGTAGAGGCAGACTCCTTTGGAATGTACACGCCTTTTCTGGGAAAGCTAGTCTGAGGTCCCCTCAAACTTCCACAGGGCGCTGCAACTTGTCGCAGGCTCCTCAGCTGCTATAGGAAGAAGTAGGGACACCAGGGGCTGTGGGCGGCACACAGGGGAGAACTGCACCTCGCTCTCCTGGCCATTAATTATGCATCCTGCTGGGTGCTGGAGCTCAGCTGTGTTTGGGGCAGCAGGTTTGTGTTTTGGAAAATGCTGGTGTGTTGGAAAACGGGGGAGAAAAATAAAAGCCGCCACTCTGGCCCTCTCCTCCCACTTCTCCAGAAGCCTCCAGATGTTGGGCCAGCCTGGTTTGTTTGGAGTTTCCTTCTCAGGAGAAGTTTCTCCTTACTTGTCAAGGTGGGCAGCCTTCCCTGGTCCAGAGCAGCCATCAGATGAAGCAGAATCCTGAGCATGGAGCCCCTGAGACCATGTCCCCAGCATTTAACAACCACCTACTCATAGTGCGTCCTTATCCACCCATTTCCTTTCCTCCACCTCCACGGAGCCTTCAGCCCTGAAGTTTATTTTTCCTTGCTGAGGTTCAGTGTCTGGGGCCGAGAGAGCTAACGGTTGTGCACATCTCAGATGTCCTCTAGATGGAATGGTTTTGGTGAACTTTTTAACAGTTTATCCATAAGGAACTGGACAATCCTGATTATAACGATAACTTTCTTTTTGCAACGAATCAAAATAAGTTTTGATGTTTTTGTGATCCTGATGTTTTTAAACAGTCTCTAAGGTCGTTTGACTCCAGGGGCTTACCTCAAAGCCACTGCAGTGCCCGTGATGAAATGCTGATTCCATCATTCCCAGAAAGAATCTCTTTCTTGAATGATGAGCAAGCATAACTTCTGACTTTTTCCTTCAAGAAAATAGGTTTTTGGCAATGATCACTAGAAAAATAAAACAATCCCTGTATTAGGCTGTATTTTGTAGCTTCAAGAGCTAAGTTGACATAACTGGAAGTTTCGACAAAAAAAAATCAGAGATGCTTCCAGTTGGTGGGGGAGATGGGAGGTGATACAGGACAAGATCAGGTCACTTTGGTACCATTAGAGTTCATTTTAAATCATGCCCAGATCTCTTAGTATCTGCCCCTTGATTTGCTCAATGAAGCCTAGTGTAGCCAGCCAGCTCTTTATGACCAATGGTAATGACTTAGGTCTTTTACAAGCTATTCTTTCTGCCCTTGATGTCTGTTGCAGTCATGCTTTTTCTGCCCTTCACTCTTTCTGATTTCCACCTACTGGTAGTTGTCGAGATGCTGTGCAAAAGAATGCATTCAGCTTGAACTTGGGTTATTGCTGGGTTATTTTACTGCTGGGTTTCCCAAGCAAACCCTGGCTGCTTTTCCGCAGAACTCTGCCGGCCCTCAGGTGTGTTCACCGTCACTTTCGTTCAGACCCGAGACAGTTTGATCAGGAGCCGGGGGCCAGTGGGAGGCTGGTCTCTTCAGCATCAGAAATTCCATGGGAGATGAGTTTCAGCAGGGAGTTCTGGAATCACAAGCGCTGGGCCTCCGGGACTGCACCATCCTCTCTGATCAAAGGAACCTGGGATCGTGGGTGCATCTTTAGAACCTTTGGCCTCTGAATCCCAAACGGTGAATGACTCTATTATTTGGCAAAGAATCGTATGTGGGATTTTCTTTTTAGGAAATAAAGAAGAAAACGAATCACATTTCCCCCCTGTTGAGGACTTGGACACGGTCACTCAGGACTGTGTTCTCTGCTGCACTCTGTCACATTGTTTTGTGTCTGCTGAGTTTCATCAGAGCTCTCTTCACGAGGCTGTGACAGTTTGAGGTCCAACCTGGTAGCAGACTGTAGTGAACAGGGAGCTGCTCTGGCCTCCCGAATAAGGCCGTGACCTTGAAGAAGTCATTTAACCTCTCTGGTCTCTCTTCTTGTGTTTAAAATGTGGAGGTTGAATTCTGTGTGTTCTCCTGGCCCTTCTGCTGTCTGATTCCAGGTCAGGGAGTGGAAGGAGTTGAGAGACTGGGTAAACTTTCTAGCTCAGAATGTATTTTGCAATGGTGCAGCGATTCCTTTAGGAATTCAGCTTCTGAGGGCTTATGTGTCTTTTTTTCCATCTCCTGCTCCTCATTCAGCACAACAGTTTTCTTTTTTTCCATTAGTCCTGGGAAGCTGAGGCTGACTCCCTGTGGGGCTGTGGTTTGCCGAGGGGCCTGCACGGGCGGGCACAGACTCAGGCCTGCTCTGAGTTAGAGCTGTCCTCCCTGTAGAAGTTTGGGCTTGACCGAGGCTGGTCTGCATGTAATGAATTATTGAGGTGTGATCTCCATGGCTGTGTCTGAAAAAACAACATGTTTTCTCTGCCAGGCTCGTGACTAATATAAATATCAGATCCCATTACAGCTTGGTAATTACCCAGGGTCTGGCCTGATGCATCCAGTCAGGGCTGGAGCTTCAGGGCCTCTGAATTCTTGGTGCCACATTGGCCCTTGTGCCTCATCTCGTCCTGGGGATCAGCCACACTGCATGACCTTCAGATACTGCTTTTTGGTGAGATTGCTTCGGCCTCGGAGAAGGTCTCAGGTCCCACTCCAGCTGACCTTCCCTGATCCAGACAGCTTTTGCTTCTCATGCCTCACTCTCTTTATGGAAATATACACACACGGAGACTCTGCAATGAGACCCAAGTGCAGATCGTGACCTCACATTTATTAGCTGGGCATCTTTGTCTGGCAACTATGTCAAGCCTTGATTTCTTCTTCTGTAAAAAGAGCCTAATGGTGCTTACTTTGTAAGACTCTTATAAGGAGTGGCAGTAATGGGCACCTAGCACCTAGCAGATGCCCGGCATTCAGCAGGTCTTTTGTAAATGGGAGCTACTCTGTAGCTCCACAAGGTGGTGAGTTTATTTTCTCTTGATTCCTTAACTTTTGGCCCTTGTAGGGCACACACTGCAACGAATAGAACTTTCGGAGAGCCTGAAGTTGACTGGCCAACAATCAGAGCCAGACTGAGATCTGGGCTCACGGCTTTCTGCTGCTGCGGGGCTGCAAGAGTGGGGAGAGACAGCCGGGAAGGGCTCTGTGGATGAGAGTCTGGGAGGATGGCTGGTGCTTTATGGTGCGGATGTCCTTGGACGAGCATTGACATTGTGGGGCTCCCCGGGCTGTCGGTCTCTCAGAAGTGAAAGCTTTGTTGCTCAGATGTGGCTGTCCCCCATTCCTTGAGAAGGAACAGATTCCATCCCTGTATCCCTAGTCTGGAGCTCACAGATCTGTTTCCCCAGTAAAGTAACAGTGTCTTAAAGAGGATGTTCTCTTTCTGTATCAGTTTTAGTGTTCTGTGGAGCACTTGCCCTTGAAGTTACCTTGTGAGGGATTGAGAGGCGTGGCATCCTGGGTGGCCCTTTGGGGAGCCCCCGGCTCTGGGGAATCCCGCGGCAGGGAAATGGGTTAGATGGCTGTGGACTGTGCTGACTTAGCCTGGATGTCCAGCCTGCTGTGCAGCACTCAGCTGTCAGCTCGTGACCTTGCTGTCAGCTTGTGACCTTGGGCAAAGACTCCACTGCTTTGTGCCTCGGTTTCCTCATCTGCACACTGGGGATTATAATAGAGCACAGCCCTAGTAGGTAGGTGCTCTCCATAACCCCATTTTGTAGCACTTCCTAGGAGGACATAGTGACTGCAAGCCATGGCCTGACCCTGCTTCCAGGTGCCCAAGGGCCTTGTCCAAATGTACATCAGGAGGAAAGGAAGAGCTTCTCTAGCATCTGGCCTAGGGGAGTAGGGATTCCAAGGGCCAAGCCAGGTGGGTCCCTTCCTTGCCTTA